ATATATATATATATATATATATATATAATGTATAATATTCTGAGCTGTCTCAACAAGATAACATCTGTACAGAAATACTCCCCATACTTAAATTGAATTGAACTTTTTAAAGTCGTGTTAACCAATTCCACCCCCATCAGCCATTATTCAACTAGCTGTATTATTCAACTAGCTGTATTATTCAACTAGCTGTATTATTCAACTAGCTGTATTATTCAACTAGCTGTATTATTCAACTAGCTGTATTAGCATAGTGGTTTGAAATTAGAAGGGGAAAATGCATCACATTATGCCTGAGAAACTACAATTCACTGTAATACAGTAGTCCCTGGGCAGCACGGTGGCGCAACTGGTAGAGCTGCTGCCTCTCAGCGAGCAGGTCCCTGGTTCAAACCCCGGTCCAGGGGCCTTTCTTGGTGGAGTTTGCATGTTCTCTCCGTGCATGCGTGGGTTTTCTCCGGGTACTCCGGTTTCCTCCCACAGACCAAAAACATGCATGTTAGGCTGATTGGTAACTCTAAATTGTCCCTAGGTGAGAGAGTGAATGGTTGTTTGTCTCTATGTGGCCCTGTGATGGACTTGCGACCCATCCAGGGTGTACCCCGCCCCTCACACAGTGATTGTTGGACATGGGCACCAGCGACCCCCGTGACCCAAAATGGAATAAGCGGGTAAAAGATAATGGATGGATGGATGGACAGTAGTCCCTCGCTACTTTGTGGTTCTAGGTGATTTTTTTTTGCATATATACTCGTTCTTTGAGTTTTATAGGTTTTACTCCGTGGTCACCTGTAGCTGTTTCCTTGATGGTCTTTACAGTGCGTTTTGGGGTCCTTCCCTGACCCGTTTGTATGCGTTTGACCTCAGGTATCCTGGAGTTCATCAGCCTGGCAGTGGGTCTGGTCAGCATCAGGGGGGTGGATGCTGGACTCTACCTCGGCATGAATGAGAAAGGAGAGCTCTATGGTTCGGTGAGTCAAAAACAGTTTCTATTGTTTGAATTTGTCCCAGTCGAGGTCTCGTTCACAACACACCTGTCACGCAGAACCTGTTTTAAGCTCCGTGCTCGAGTCGCTCCTTGAGAATGGAGCTTCCTTTTTATTCTGAGTTTGTTATCAAGGTTTCCCTGTGGCAGATGGGGAAACCACAGTGAGACTAAACAAGTGTGTGTTTCTTATTCTTCGTGCTTGTTTTTTGTCTGCAAGGTTCAAGGAAAATCAGCTTTCAGACAATAAACTGAGAGAAAAAGCCAGTGTCTACATGTAGTTTGAAGATATGCAGAGATATTTACATATTTTCACAGGAGGACGTGGTGGATAAGAACTTTGCCTCTAGCTGCCACGTTTTATACCTTCTGTACTTTCTTTGCCGAGTTTTTCCACACATGTAGTGGAGACAGAGAGGTAGGAAACGAACGAGATAAAAACAATGAAAGGGGAAGTATGTAAGTGCAGACCTGTATCAGGTGTCCCGGGACATTTACCTGGGGGCCTCTCGGTGGCTCTGGCTCTGAGCATTGGGAACAGAGGCCACTTTTAGGCAGCCCATTATGCTGGGAGCGCAGATATTGTTACCGCACGTTATCAGAGTCTGGCATCCTGGAGCTTTGACCCTGAGATGAAGGGGGCTGGGTGGGGAAGGGTGGGGGGGGGGGGGGGGGCAGTGGTTTTTAGGGTTGTTTAAAGGGGCGGGGGGGGGCGGGGGTAATTGCACACCTGAATGAGCCACCTGACTGACAGAGATGTCGACATGTCTGTCTGAATCTGAGGGGCCAGTAGGTGGAGATGGAAATGGGGAGTGGGGGGGGCGCTTCCACCCTAAAACTGCCAGACCTTGACAAGTTTTTGATTCGATGAGGTTTAGGTGTGTGTGTTAGGATGGCCCAGTCATGTGCCCTTCAGGTTGTGTTTACAGACAACAGCGAGCAGCCATGTGGAGCCTGAAAGCCAACCATTAAAACTGCTCCTGAAATCAAACTCAGCAGAAGAGTAAAGACTTAAAACAGATACGTACAGCTGTGGTCAGATACTTATCATGGGCATGAATGTTGTTATTTGGAGCTTTAATCGTCTTTAGGTGATGAGCTGAAGCCAGGGCGCAGACAAAACTCAAAAGCAAAACACAAAAACTATCGTAATTTATTTATAAAGGAAACAAAAAGCTGATGGGGCAGGTAAAACTACTGGGAACACTTGAAGGAACAACATGAACGGCGTGTATGACACAATGCACGGACAACAAATGAGAAAGAGGACACAAGCTTTAAAAGGAAACTAATGAGGGAGAAATGACAACACCTGGGGAGACACAATGAGGATCAGGTGAGAGTGGGAGGGGCAGGATCTGAACTACATGAGGGGGAAACAACTGGGGAAGTTGGAAGCACAAGTCAAACAAAATACCAGAATCACAGAAATACTCAAAAGAAATAGCAAAAGTCACGGATCATGACGGCTTTAATTAATTTAATTATTTATTTGAACAGTAAAAAAAAGTTATTTGAACAGTTTTTCTTTTCTCCAGAGTGGAAGGACTGCACAGCATGAACAACTTCAGTGTTTTTTTTTAATGATTTATATGTCTAATCCACACAGGATTAGACAACCTAACTTTCAATTAGTGATCACGATTGACTGTAGCTGATATGTTCTTCTTGCCAGCAGAAAATGTTTTGTTTGATAGCACGCGTTGGATTCACCAAAGACTAAATATATTAGACTGAGTGTCCTCGCCTTCACTCATTTTTGAGAGCTGAAGACAGCCGGAGCTGACATGTTGTGTTTTTGGAACTACGGTCTGCGCACTAACAACTTGGGGCTTTAGGTTGTGTCTGCTACCTCACATACAGTCATGATGCTGCATGAAACTGAGTACAGATAAATATATTTAAAATGTGGCAACAAACAACAGCAAGATATGAACTATGTGTATCAGCAAACATTAACACCTGAAAGAAATCTGAGGTGTCCCATTTGGAGGGAGTGGGACTTACAACTTGTACTGGAACCAGCCTGCAGGGAAGATTAGTCCCACTCAAGTCTACAGCACATGCGATTGACCGTCACTCAGAACAATGAAAATGTCTAGTGCAAATCAAATGAGGAGAGGACGGTGATGTTCAGGAACAAGCCAGGAACCATCAAGGTTCAAATGTCTTGAGGACTGGAAACTCCTGGAACAACGGAACCGGTGCCACTGACTATAGTGAAGCTGGTTTTACATCCACATGAACTGAGAGACAAAAGTCTCTCGCTCCAAAAACAACAGCTTGCTTGACTGAAGTCAGCAGCTGCCCACACGAACAAGCCTTCTGGAGAAAAGCTTTATGATCAGACGAGACAACATTGAGCTTTTGACCACAGTGACAAGATATATGGTTGAAGGAGTCAAACGAGACTTTCAAACTTAAGAACGCAGTACCAGCTGGCAAGCATGGTGGCGGTAGCTTTATGCTGTGGGGCTATTTTGCTGCCAGTGGTATTATAGCAGCAATGTTTGATATAGACCAACGCTAGTCAACTAAATTGCTCAGGGGGCCACAGTTACTGAAAGCCAAAAGCTCAGGGGCCGGACATCCAGCAGTTATTATCATTAAGTAAGTTTTTCTGGTTTAAAATCTAGTTTTATTTAAATAAGAACCCATTGGTGGGCTGGACTGAGCTCACCCATGGGCCTGATTTGGCCCCCGGGCCACCAGTTGAATAGTCCTGCTATAGACCCTGTGTAGATTAGAGAAAACCCACTCTAAATTAGAAAAAAATGGCGCCCCCAATTAATTCTAGTTTGAAAAAAGAATGCACAAATCATTAAAGCTCAAAGTGAATATGAAATTCATGCCTATAATGGGTGTATGTAAACTTCTGACCACCCCTGTGCACATGCAAATCTACGTCGTGTTCTGTCAGTGGAGTCGGAGGCTTTATTGTTGCATCACAGGGAAGGGAAACTACCTCTGAGAGGTCAGGAGGTCTGAGGAGTGAGCGTGGAGCGCAACGCCACGTGGCCTCCCCTCGTTTGTCATAATGAGCATGTGCCTGAATGAGTTTCCATCGCTACATATTAGCACAAAACCAGTAAACAACACACCTAAGCTCATCAGTGTTATGGATCTTGTTGGTTTTTCCACTAACATCTTGTTTCCCCTCCTGCAGAAGAAGCTGACAGCAGAGTGCGTGCTCAGGGAGCAGTTTGAGGAGAACTGGTACAACACTTACGCTTCAACTCTGTACAAGCACACGGACACGGGACGCTTCTACTACGTGGCTCTGAACAAGGACGGCTCGCCCAGGGAGGGCAGCAGGACTAAAAAACACCAGAAACTCACGCACTTCTTACCCAGGCCGGTGGAGATCGAGAAGATCCCTCAGGCGTTCAGAGACTTGTTCCAGTACAGGTGACCAGCGCTTACGTTGGGAGAACTGGTTTTGTTCGGAACAAGGAAAAAGATCAGCACTCTGGGTCTGATGGGGAACTGCTTACCCTCAGCTCTTCGGCGGACTTGTGAGCGAGAAGGGAATGCTTTTTGTGCGGAACCACTGAGGAGGAAGGAGAGCCTCGAGACTGATGAGCTGATGAAGTCGATCAGAAATGTCTAATCAGATGCTTTTCTCCAGCGGCACATAAACCTGTGGCTGTTTTGGGTTTCCTCCAAGCAAAGAAAGGGGGAGTGGGGAAGACGATTACAGGCGCAACAGGAAGTTCCCTTTAGAAGTGCTGCGGATGACACATATTTTTTGCACTCGTCATGGTTGCACACATTTCTGGTTATGTCTCAAAGAGACATTCCCACATTTCCTATGACAGATTGCATGTCAGAGGCAGAAACACACTCTGCGTGCTGCTTGAGAGGTGGTGGTTTGTGACAGTCAGGTATCTGAACAAGAATGTCTGCAAAGATCGATGGAGCACTTACCGCACATCCCAAGTCCCCTGGTCTCAACCGAAACACCACATCCATCATGTTTAAATGGAATATCAAGCAGCAACCTGCAGGGTTTTTCTTTTGGTACAAGACTGGGATGAAAGCACTTCTCTGTCTGGAAGGGAAAACTTGATTTAATACAGGTTTAGCATCCCCGGTTTAGTTTAATGGCGTTGACTTGTAATGTTCAGAGGGCCACGAACATTATAAAAGGTGCAAGCGTCTGAGGTTGTACATATGGGTGTTCCTATTTATGAGATGTACAATATATTTATTTTCTACATATAAAAAGTATAAATGTAAATCTATATATTTATTTATTTCAAAGACTTTATTTTGTAATGAACTTGAAGTTATCTGGACTACAGATTCTACTGAAATGAGGCATAAAAAAAAAAAAAGAACTGCAACAAACATGACAATAAAATTGCCCTGCTATCAAGAACTCATTGTGACACCATTTGTGCTTGGATTAAGGTTTGGTGATGATTTTAAATGATTTATTAACTGAAGCATGCTCCTGAACTAATCTTACAGCACCTTGAAGAAGTACGGTATTCACTTTGTAACAAACGCCACCAAATGTGGGATTTTATGTGAAAACAAGGGACAATTATTCAAAGCTTTCCGTTTCGTTTTACAAATAAAAAAATGCATTTGTATTCAGTCCCCTTTACTTCAAAATCCAGTTAAAGCACTTATCAAACAACTGATGAACACGCCAGACAGGTCAGGGGTAAAATTATGTAGTGAGCTTTGAACACTTCATGGAGCACTGTTCAACCCATAATCTGAAAACGGAAAGAGGACGGCTCAATTGTCAACCAGTGGCGATTTTAGCCTCTTTGAGGGGTGCCCAAGCACCCCTAATTTTAACTTAGCACTCCTGAAAAATTAAGAAGCCATCATTAGGATTTTGTCAAGAAACTCAGTTCTCAAATCTTAGATTCACCAAAATATTGAATAAATTTGGAATAAATGATGACAGTTTTAGACGGGCCAGTGAAATCTAAGATTTTTTTTCACGAATCGGATCCTCAACGCCACCTGTCAATCAATCCAGTAGGCTTGTCAGTAACTGACCAATCGGCGACCTCAATTTGTCCTGAAGTGAAACGCCCCTTCCCTGCAGGAGCTGGAGCGTAGGATACGTGAGAGAAGCGGAGTGCTCTATTCACACAAGGAGAGCTGTTGGTCAGGCTACTTCTTGTGCCGCGCTCTCAATAGTTATTGACTCAAGTGTTTAATTATGTAGATAAACGTAGATGTTTAACAACCCATTCAAACACACCAGAATGCAGGAAATGGCATTTACTTTATTCAAAAATTTCTAGGGGAGGACCCCCAGACCCCCCTCCCCCACAGTATGTCTGAAACGTGCAGCCAGAGCTACAATGAACCGATTTAGATTCAAGCATTTCAACGTGTTAGACCGGCCCGATCAAATTCTAAAAATTCAGCTGAGAATCTGTGGCACAACCTGAAAATGGCTGTTAACAGACGCTCACCATCCAAAGTGACCGAGCTGCAGCTCTTCTGCAAACAATGAGCTAAAATTTCAGTCTAGATGTGCAAAGCTGGTCAAGACACACCCCCTAAAGACTCTCAGCTGCATCTGTAACAGAAGGTGGTTCTAAAAAGAATTGACTTGTTGGGGGGGGGGGGGGGGCAGTATACAAATGCACGACTCGTGGTTTAGGTTGTTTTAAAATTTTTGAAAATATCAGGAGAGTTTAAAACACGGTGACTCAGTTGGTAGAGCTGCTGCCTCTCAGTGAGAAGGTCGCCAGATCGAATCCTGGCCGGGGGCCTTTCTGAGTGGAGTTTGCATGTTCTCACCGTGCACGCATGAGTTTTCTCCAGGTACTCTGGTTTCCTTCCACAGACTAAAAACATGCATGTTAGGCTGATTGGTAACTTTAAATTGTGGGTGACAGTGAATGGTTGTCTTATTGTGTGTCCCTGTGATGGACTGGAGACATGTCCAGGGTGTTCCCGGCCTCTTGCACAGTGACTGCTGGATATGGGCACCAGTGACCCCCGCAACCCGAAAAGGAAGAAGTGGGGTAAAGATAATGGACGGATGGATAAAATCCAACTAAAACACGTGGAGGTGTGTGGCTGCAAGGTGACAAAATGTGAGAAAGTTCATTGAGTACAAAAACTTCTTCAAGCTGCTGTAAACGCTTCAAACTGAAGGACTAAAGCTGTGGACTACACAGCTTGTTGTGTGGCTCTTTTCAAGTGAGAAAGATTTGCGTGAAAGTGCACAGTTGATTCCATCCCATAGTGGTGGTGGTGGGGGGGGGGGGGGGGGGGGTCCTCTTCCAGTTTGGCCTCTTAAACCCCCTTAGCATGTAGGCGTCACATTCTAAAAGAATACACACAGGCTTCCTCTGTTTTCCAAAGCTCTTGACCAGCCTACATCCACCGTACAAAATCAGATTTCTTATGCAACTGGATCTCAACTTCTAATTGGCTTTACACATCAGCGTGGATTAGATGCAGTGATTGGGGGCTCACTGCGGGGGCCGCACAGGCTCTACAGAGGAGGCTACAGCGAGTGTTTTTTTCCAACGGACAGAAACAGCTGTCCCTGCTGCAGGGACCTGCCACAGACCCGGGGCTGGTGGTCATCTGGAGCTAAGATAGGACGGGGATCAACATTTCAACATCTGCAATAGTTGTAATGTCTCTCCATTGGCAGATATCTGTGTGCACGGTGAGAGCAAGCTCCTCTGTGGAGGGGGGGGGGTGAAAAAGCCAAAGACATGCAGGGGAAAACCCTGGCATTCAGTAATGAAAACAATACCGGGTGAAGGGGGGAAGAGATGAAGGGTGTTCGTAACGCTACCAAACCCCAGTGCTGGGTGTGAAATACAGGAACACAAGAGGACAAATCAGCTGTTCTCCGGTTATTAAAGCTCCGAGTCTGAGCGAGGCCGACGGAGCAGATTGCTGTCGTCAACACAACTCAGGTCTGAAGTTTTACCCACGTCAGCCCACTCATGGTCGTTCGCTCATCAGTCCTGTCAGAATTCAGAACTACTTTTCCAAAGTGAGGTAGACCAAAGAGCCATCTGCAATAGAGTTTCTTAGTCCGTGCCCCGACGCAAAATTTGGTCCAGGTCGGGCCAAAATTATGTGACGGATGGGCGGATCGGTTTGGGCTCAGGCTTTTGATGTGGTTTTACAAATCAAACAGCACAAAGAAAACTAAATAAGAATGCACAATATAAAACTGATCTACTTGTAGAGGAGGAGGCAGTAAGTTTATATGTCGAGAAATAAAATAGAGTGCAGAAGTTATTCAGACTGTGAAAAGAGAGAGTAGCGCTGGTGCATTGTGCAACAATTGTGCATGTGGCCCCGCCCATTGCTCCTTTCACACATCTGAGGATTTACAATTGACCCACAACAAGCGACATAATGGAGCTGGAAAGTATTGAACAAAAGCTAAAAACTGGAGAACTCACTCTAAAGCCAGCAGTGAAACCTGCTGATGTGTGTCAGGTGCACGCTCAGGTCCGACCGGCCGGTTGAAAGAGGTAAAAAAAAAAAAAAAGAAGGTCCCGTCAAGCTCCCAATGGATAACCGGATCATCAGCTGCGTGCGTCCGCCGACTCTTGTTAATAAACAAGAAATCTTATGTCTTCCTTTCTTTGAAATATGTTTTTAAAACTATCAGGTCAAACTGATTTGTTTACAAAAGCAGTAAAAGCTTAATTAAAAAAAATTTTTTTGTTCGGGCCTGTTTTAATTAGTCGAGTCTGGCTCGGACAAAATGCCTATGGGCTCGGGCCAGATTTTTTAGGCCTGAATGCAACTCCAATCTGCAACGGGTAACATATTAACAGTTCATAACAATTCTATCAAACAATATAGACTATTCAAAAAAGTTCAATCTGGTCCTCTGGACATTCAAAAAAAAAAAAAAAAAAAAACAAAGCAAAAAATATAGAAATGTTTCGTCTCATCCGAGAGACTTCCTCAGGCTCAGGTGCTGTATTCAGCTCAGTCCATGTCCAGAGGACCAGATTGAACTTTTTTGGATTTAGGTGTATAATTTACTTCATATTAATTATAATTTTTTCTTCTTTCAGCTGTAACCGATGACTTTCTGATCACAGGCCCACCTTCTCCAACCTCTGCGCCACCACTCCCACTTACATTAATACTAATAATTATATTTAGTATTAAAGGACATATCCAAGTACATTTACTTAAAAAAGTATTTTGCACATACTGTAAACCCCAAAACTTTCAGCTCACCGTTCGCTGTACTTAAAAAAAAAACACACACATATTAATCTGACCCGTCATTTTATATTTTCTGTCAAAAATCTAAATAAATAAAAGCACTAAAATCACAAGAACCTAGTGTGTAACACCAGTACTCGTCTGAATCCCCTCATGAAAGCGTTCCACTGTACATTTCCTGTTTGCACTTCATTAAAACAACACAGATGCACAAGTCTTGGTTTGGTCACTTTATTAAATGTTATATTAAATACTTAAGAAGATAATAGCAGTTCAGTAATGGCAAAACATATTGGTGTATCTGCTAACATAAGAACATTCTTAGAGAAGGGCAGAGTAACTTATTCTACATTTAGAAAATACACCCTGTGCAAACGAAGGGGTCGATGAACGTCCACCTCCCTCTTGTTAAAACGGCTACAACAGTTTGAGCTTTAGAAGAAAGAACGTGTGAGAGGAGAATACGAGTAGTCTGGGTGCCTGTCTGGTGGAATTACAACGTCCAGGAGAGCATTACTCACAAAGCACCGGACAAAAAAAGAAAAATCAGCCGCGTATAATCTGAATTCCAGTCTTCCGCTCTTCCTGTCGACTCCATCTTGAAGGTGATATTTCAAAGGTTCAGACAGGTGCAGAGTGAAGTTTGGACTCTGACATCCGGCTGAGCCGTCTGTGCTTTGTGAGCTGAAGCCACTCAAACAGGCAAACAAAAACAAATATGAGCAGAAACACAGGGCTAAGCTAATCAACACGTGATGATGAGTATGACGTTACAAACAAACGAAATAAAAAGAGCCGGCAAGCACTTCTGAACAATACAAGCATTCCATTTTCAGGTTCAGCGACAACTAACAGAACACTTACAAGCATAATAGAAAAGATTCACAACAAATCTCAGGTTTTTACAGCAAATCTGTTTTTCTTAAAGAAATCAATATAAGGCCATTTTTTACTTTTTTTTTTTTTTTTAACTGTTTATTGTTCTTTCAGTTTCTCCCACCTCCTGAAAGGATCAGGACTTAGCAGCAATAAAAGCTGTCTACTTTGCTAGATAACTGATGAACAAAGTGAGGCTAATAATCAGAGCCTTGTTTTGTCCCGGAGTCCCACCACCAACGATCCTGGTCCCACTCAGATGCTGTCGCGCATTTTAAAAGAGTATATATATAAAAAAAAAAAATGTTTAAAGAAAAAGGGAAAACCCTTTTTTGAAGGGAAAATGAATGCAATGCTTACAGGCATTGATGGGTTAAACCTGTTTGTCTTTTAGATGCAGAACAAAAGAAGCTACAGAACGTGAACAACATTAAGGCGGTATTTACATTTCTTCCTGTTGGAACTCTGAACAAGCCTTACACGCTGCCATTTATACATCTTATTCCACCGCGTCTCGGTGAATCACAAAGTACAACACGGACGATCTACTCTAAAGAGGCCCAAGCAGACAGCAGCCTCATCTCAGAACCATTTCCTCCTCTGCTTGACCCAGCGGTACGTTTCGACCTCGCACAGTGTGTATGTTACAGAACGGGGGGGGGGGGGGAAGGAGCCAGCTACTTGACTTGGGAGGGATGAGAAGCTGTCTGGTGTGACCTACAGGTTGTTTGAAGGTCCGGGGTTCTTGCCCATGCCTTGATTTGTACCCATGCCTTGATTTGTACCCATGCCTTGATTTGTACCCATGCCGTGCAGGCGCTGGTAGAGCCCGATCATGTCCATTTGGCTGAGCCCGCCCGATCCCATCATGCCGTTCTGCATGGCTAACTGGTTCAGGAACGTGGCCTGGTTAGCCATGGCTAGCTGCTGCTCCTGCACCTTTCTGTTGGTGATCAGCTTCTGCACGAACATCATCAGCTGGGAAAACGCAAAGAAAGAGTTTTAATGTAGGACAGAAATCACATTAAGATGGAGGAAAAATGCAAATGTAAAAGTCAACATTATGACACAACAACACTCAAACTGTGTAGAACAAGTTGGTAAACACTGACAGCCTGTTATTTTTTTTAAAAACTCTTTAATAAAATAAATGCTCTCTACATGTTCCCCTCAAACAGCCATTATTTTTGACAGTTTCATGTAATGAACTTCCTCACGTTCCTGCGTGACGTGATCTTTTTCAGCTCGAGTAGATAAACTGATCCACATCGAACAGGCCAATAGATACAGCTAGATACAAACAAATTTGAGGGCAACTTATCTATAAAGCCGTTGCCTCCATATAGACTTGTTTTATAAAATTGTTTAAATTAACCAAAATCTGACAAATAAATGACTTTTTTTTTTTACAAATACAATCCATTTTTTTAAGGTCAATCCTACTCTTGGTGTTTAACCAGCAACGACAGTGATTTAGTGCAGGTGAAGTATTTATAAACGTGGCGGCTCTTACAGATTGCTGCTTGGTGAGGACGTCCCGGTAAATGGCCTCTCTGCGCTTGAGCTCGATCTCCACAGTGGCTTGGTGCCTCAGAGCTATAGACTGGACTTGGCTCTCTGTGAGGGACGCGTTATCCTTCCACTGTACGACGAGGAGACAAGAAAGTACAGCTTTTAATAAAATATTCTTTCTCTGAGAAACGTGACGGAGACTGTCGTCGCAGGCTGAGCTGCTGCTTTCTGAAACTTACCACTCTGGCAATTATATCTTCCAGTGACTCCCGAGCTAAAGATTTCAAAGCAGTCGTTGCTTCAATGACTTTCTGCCGCCCCAGGTTTATGAGATCCTAAAGAAAACGTAAAAAACATGAAACACTAAAGTAGAAATAAGTGATTTCTTCTTATATTTCCGCTTCAGAAGTGAGTACTTGAGTTTGAATATACATGGGAAAAAACAGTATTTTGCATATTACGTTACTTCATGCAGAACATGTATTATTACTGTGTTTATGAAGCATTCACACTATTGTGATCCAGTTTTCTTCTGCACGTTTTTCTGCACAATTTTTGTGCTATTTCAACAAATCATAAAATGTTCAGCCAGTTCTTTCAGGACAATTCTGCTACAACTTTTGGTATTTGTGCAACTTTAGCTTTTTGAAATATTTAGCCTTTCCTGACATTTTTTTCTAATAGAAAATGAATTGAGTTCATTTTAAATCCTTCAGATCTTTAGCTCTGTTTACAGCCTTTTACTGCTTCTTTCACATTTTGTTCTGCTTCAGCTTCTTTCAGCTTCCTTGTGCAAATTTACACTTTTTTTCAGCTACTTTCAGCTGTTTTGTGCTCCATTCAGATTATTTCTGCTAACTAAAACATTTTTGTGCTTCTTCTAACTTATTTCTGCTAATTTCAGCTTGTTCTGTTAATTTTAGCCTACTTCTGCAAGTTTCAATTTTTTTCTGCCATTTCAGCTACCATTTAGCTGTTTTATGCTAATTTTATCTTTTTCAGCTAATTCCACAATTTTTGCACTCATTTCAACTTTTTTTAGACTAAATCAGCAAAAATGTTTTCTCCACTTCCTTCTGCTAATTTAGGCTTCTTTCTGCTTGTAGCTACTTTTCATCTGCTTTTTTAAATTTGATTAATTTGTTTCTTTGCTAATTTCAGCTTTTTTCAGATAATCTCCAGTTTGTGCTCATTTCGGCTTCTTTCAGCCTAATTGTGTAAATGTGTTCTTTCTGCTTTCTTTAGCTAATTTAAGCTTGTTCTACATTTTCAGCCGTTTTCAGTTTATTTCAATTTTTTGTGGTAATTTCTGCTACTTTCAGACTAATAAACTTCTTTATGCTAATTTCACCTTGTTATGCTCCTTTCAGCTATTTTCTGCTAGTTTCATCTTCTTCTGCTGTTTCAGCTACTATTTAGCTGCTTTTATGCTATTTTTAGCTTTTCCAGCTAATGTCACTTTTTTAAGCTAATTTCAGCTCATTTCGCGTCCTTCTGATAGTTTGAAGCTTTTTTCTGTCTTTCAGCTACTTTTCAGCCATTTTTTTTTTACCAATTTCAGCTTAAAAAAATAAGCTAATTTACTGATTTTCGTTGTAATTCCTGCTTATTTAAACCTATTTCAGCAAATTGTGTTCTTTCTGCTTTCTTCTGCTAATTTAGACTTGTTCTTTCATTTCAGCTACAATTCAGCATGTTTTTAGTTAATTTCAGCTGTTTTTCAGCAAGTTCTTAAGCAATACATATTCACGCTGCATTTTCGCAGGAAATGCAATTTTTCTGGTTGTTTTTGAAACACTACTCAATAAAGAGTACAAAATATACGACAAACCAACAGTAAATAAACCCACCTGTGTAGGTTATTGTTTACAGCCTGTTGCATATTTAAAGTTTTCATTAGTCTCGCTGCAGCTGACCTCCAGATTGAAAGAAGCTCATGAAGGAGTGGGTGAACTCAATAAAAAATATGAAAGCATGAAAATCTATTTGGAATAACCCTATATCTCAAAGATTTATCACATCAGGGGACAACTCACGTTAAACAACACAAATTGCTTCACGGAGTCCCCCCCCCCCCCCCCAAGTCTCTGTGTATTAACAGTTGCTGCTGCAGACATGGAGTATTATGAACTGTTAGGTGGAGGAGAGCGCTGAGCCGAGTTTGTCTGCTGCTAGACTGTTGTCACAATTAGACGTGGGGTCTGAGGAATGTGGGGCGCTGCGCCGTGGGGGAAGGAGATCGAGGCAGGAGAGGCATGTGGAGCTCATTACTTACCTCCAGCTGCTGGTTGCTCAAGGAGGCCAAAGCTGCGACGTTGAACGAGAAGTAGTTTGAGGAGCCCATGTCTGGCTGAGCGTATGCTGACGGCTGGTTGGTCCTCATGGACAGACCCTGAGAGATAAAAGACAGGGGAGGTGGGGGTGAGAGGCAGTTGTCAATTAGACAAGTGTTAAGAACAAACAGGGGAAATGAAGCGAGGGACAGTTTTCAGCTCCTCTAGCTGACCAGAGGTGAAATCACTTTTACGATCACATTTCTCATGCAGTCCAATAATTAAATCATACTGGCGAGCCAGTGGGGTTGGGCGATAACATTTCAGAGTCTCCAACAATACCAACATTTACTTTGACTACACCATTAAAAACCCGGCTCCAAATTTTATCCTAACTGAGAATAATCAAGTTAAAAAGGCATAAAAATAATAAACTCTCCTGTAGCAACATGTACTATTTATAAGGGAAGTGAAAAGAAAGAAGCATGGTGAATTTTCAACATATAAACAGGATGTTAACAGCACATCACTTCATTACTAATGCACAACCCAATTATTTTATAGCCTGATAAAATTGTTTTAATAACAAAACTCAAATTAAACCAGTCAAATTATCACTGTAACATTACAAACCTTTGTTCAAGGTGTCATCTATTTATCCGTTTAAATCTTTTCTGTGATGCCGTAGCATTGAGAAATAATACTTGTCTGAAGCAATAGTTAAAAGCTATATTAAATGTGAAAATACCCAAAATTATATGCAGTAAAAGGACAACATTGCAATCCTTTTGGAGCAGGTAGTAATACAGAACAGTACACCACCATATCATGAGGTATTAAACAATACTAGCATTACTTAAAAGGGATGCATGTCACCCATCACCTAGCATGCCAAGCTTTAAGCTAAAAATCTTGATCTGTTGAAGGACCGTTCTTCATGCTGTCTGCCTTAACCATCTGCTAACAGCAGTAAGACGTGTTGTCAGCACTGGTTTTCTGGATTTCAAGTCTTCAGTCTGTGCTGCTCCACATACCAGCGAAGAAGAACTAAAGACCTATTTTCATCTGAAATCATGAAGTGCATTTCAGACCATTTGCAAATATGGTTCAGACTAGCAAAAGTTGTATTTATTAATATTTTTGGGGCACTCGTCACGCTTAAAAAAACATCTAAATGAAAAAAATGATATGGATAACAGTCTGAACAGTCTTTAAGAACGTCACCCTTTTTATACTTTTAGCTTGTTTGATTCAGCAAGAGCCACAAGTTCTCCAGTGTCCTTCTTTTGTATAAAGTGTGTGTGTGTGTGTGTGCACATAGTGACCTGAAGTAAACAGTCTCGTCCCAGTAAAGGCCAGCAAAATGCCGATGTTTGTATGTAATTGAGTCTCAGCTGCAGATGGTTTCCTCATGCCCTGTAATCTGTCCATCCGGTATGTGAAGATGTGGTGTTTGAGTGTGTGTGTGTTTGAGTGTGTTGGGGGCCAACGAGGGTCTCTGGACCTGGTTGGAGACAGGTGTGCAAACCTAAACAGTACAAACCCTCCAAACAACCACAAAACAGCATCACACACGAATCTGCACAAGCACACTCTTCGCTTTGAACAAGAAGTGATTCTTGCACTCCAGCTGCATCCTCAGACACAGAGCAGCCCTCAGGAAACGAAATAAAACTAAACGCAGAATTTAAATTCATGTTCTGAATTCATTTTCATTTTTGCTTGCATTGCTAAAACGCAGTGATGGTGAGACAAATGGTTCATGGGCTCAAACTTGTTTTGAGCACAAGATCACATTCTTGTTTTTCACCATATGTTTGACTCTAATTAAATAATTACAGTAAATGTTGTTGTATAAGCCGCTGCTTTTGTCTCACACTTTGTACCTCGCGGTTTATATGCAGAAACATCTTGTTTATGTATTTTTGTTCATAATTTTCATAATTTTTATATTTTATTTTGAAATTCCAGCAGTCTGTCGGTAGTTTCCTGACACCGACTAACATTTTCCTTTGACAGAGCTGGGAGCTCCCAGTGCCTCACCCCTCATGGGAACAAGCATTAACGACAAAGACAGAATGCCCTCAGGTAATCAGATGTACGACTCTTGCTCGTGGTTTCAAATATCCAACCATAACTCCACCCACTCTGTCATCATGTGACCAGAAGTCTAACCTGAATGACCAATGAGGTACTCATGACCCCCCCCCACCCAAGATAAATGCACATTAATTTCTTCAGATAGTTCCCGTGTTACCGGATTTTGCGCTTCATGCAGACCTGTTCATTTGTTCAGCGATAATGGAAAATGCACGGAGAATTTCTTATGGCGCTTACGATGTTAAGTGATCGGCTGAAGAGGAGGACAGAGCTGCTGCCTGGAAGCTGCATAAATGTGTCGATGGACAGGATTTGAGACGCGGAAGTCAAGTCTGGCACGTTTTAATAAAAGTTTTTAAATTCTTTCTGTGTGACATTTTTCTGTGTCGGTGAATATGCATTTAAAAACCGTGATCTCATTTTAAAGTCACATCCGAACACGAAGCGGAGAAACGGAAAGGAGTCTTTCCCCCTCCCCTTTGGTCATGAGAGCACAGCGGTGGAGAAGTTGTCACCGATTTATTTTTAAAGCAGTCAGTCCAGACCTATTTAAATTAAAGTTTTTTAAAAATCTTTCCGTGTAAGGTAAATATGTGTTTAATACCAGTATCTCATTTAAGCTTAAACAGGGGCATTAAACAGAACTGCAGAGACGTCGGAGAGGGAGGGGCTCTTCCCTCGTCCTGCTCATATGAGCTCTTTCCTCAGCAGAAATCACATCAAATTTATTTAGAAAATACATTTAAGAACGGCAGTTGTTAACAAAAGTGTTTACCAATAAAAACAAATGGTATTAATTTAATGAATATTTACCGCATTCTACTGGCACCATTTGACTTTTGGTCACATGACCTAGATAAGACTGGGTTTTACCGGTAAATAATTTTAAAATAAATTCAGATTATTGTGTTCATTTTGAAGGTATAATGGTTGTACCCATGAGTCAGACATGAAGACGATCGTTGAAAGCAAGCTATAATCTGTGAAACACCATCTGCTGGCTGATTCTTGTACTACAAGGAAGCTGCACATAGCCTGAACAAACCGCGGGTACAGGTAGCGACGATGAACGGTGGATGTCCGCATCTTAATAACCGTAGCGTCTTATTTGTGTACAAAAATAAGATTCATCTTATATTTAATAAGTGCGGCTTAGAGACAGGTGCGTTCTAAAGTCAGAGAATTACGGTACTCAGGTAGTTTCTTTGCCACCACAGACAAGGTTGTAAAGGAATTGGACAAAGTTGAAATGCTTTCAGATAGTCACTTTCAAAGCCAAACACTTATTCAGCCTCATTTTGGATGACTTATCAGTTTCTGCATCTTTACTGTGGGAGAAACTGCAGCAATGCAAACATAAAACAGGTCCTTCTCACTGTTATCCCTGCGACTGGGAACCCTGGGTTCTCCTGACACGCAGAAGAGTTTAGAGGAACAAGGACACACAGCAGAGGAGGGAGAGTGTGTTGGAAAAATAATCATTAGGTTGAATTAGAATCTAGGATTACAAGGGGACAGAGGAAACTTGCTCTTGCTTTCTTACAACATAACCCCCCTCCATACACTTCTCCAAATAAACCCCACTAATTGCCCCACAAGAAAGGAGAGGGGAAAGGTGGGGAATGAGTGTGTGAGTGCAGGAGGAGTTCCTAACCTTCTGTGAACCCACATGCTTACAGTAAGTAGAACTGGCGCTGCCTGGGCAGCTTCAGAGATTTGTGTTGCTGAGGAAAAACCCGATGCTTGGCCAAACTGACCATCAATGGGAGAAGAAGAAAAAAAAGCTGAGTATTAGCTTCTGTCATCTGCTCACTGTAGGTGATGACAGATGCTACAGTCTCTCATCAATCTTCACAAAAAAAGTAGGGCCTCACTCAGCTCACCTTGCTCTTTGATGTTGAACTTTTAGAGGATGATTGACATGAGGCCTACCTGTGTTGGTGGGGGTTTTTTTTCCATTCCAGAGGATCTGCCTCTGTTTTACAATAATGTCCCTGTATGTGTTTTTCCTCCTCGCCTACCTTTTTCTCTGCTTCGTACTCGGCCCACGCAGCTTTGCGATCCTCCTCACTGAGGGCTTCCTCCTCCTTGTGGTCCAGCAGGGAGTCGTGTTCATGATAGCACACAATCTGGTCCTTATTGTTCTGCAGCATCTCAGCTAGGATGGGATCCTACAGAACAAAACAAGATCACATGTCTTCATTGTAGTCGTGTCTAATTCAAACATGGCAATGACTAAGGTTAAAAAAAAACAAACAAAAAAAAAAAAACATCTGCCCAGTCATCTCCAGACACAAAATAAATGAATACACAAATCTGGTTTCCATGCCTGCACAGTTATTGAAAACAAGACATAAGTAAAATTAAGGGTCTGGACAGGTTCGGTTTACATACGATTCAAATTATTCTCTCCCCATCACATTTACTTTTCTTTTTCTTTGCCTCAATGCAGCTTTACTTCTGACTGGAACTCTGGAAACATCAAGTTGTCTAATTTACCTCCACACAGACCCATTCAAAGAGGGGGTCTACTTTTTTCTGTGTCTCACTTTGATTAGAGATAATGTGTGTGAATGTAATATTAAAAAAATGAATGCTATTGGGATTAGGAGAAGAAAAAAAATAAACTGAAACATCAAACCATGAAATTAAGCATTGATTGCAAACCTGTAGTGAATAAACGTTAAATAAACACCAGACTGGACTGAGTGAAACTGGATCCATCAAAGGGAGGGGAGCGATCGGCACAAAAGCTCCACGAGTTATCTGTGTAGAGCTTCTCACCAGCACACACTGTAGCCTCTAAGACTTGTGCTCCTCAGTGACATATGTTTACGTTTCCTGGCCATCACTCTCAATCAGGACAAAACTGGGCCACCCCTGAGCAACCAAACATTTCGAAGCACAGCACAGCGAGCGATTCGACTGCTACTTTACCCTCCAATTAGGACATAAAAGCACAATGGAGTCTGTTGGCAAAACTTAGAAAAAAGGGACTTGTTATGGCTTGTTCTACCAGAAAAGGTGAACAGAAGGTCACAACAGCTGAAGTCAATGCAAACACTTGTAAAGACGTAATGTGTATCACTTTGACTGCACTATCTAACAAACAAATTAACTCAGCTGTAGCAGTCTACAGAAACTTGCAGGTAAATCAGGGCATTTGTCACCAGGGAAGCACCAGTTAATCAGCTGGCAACAGGAATCCACTAGTCTTTTGCTCAACTAAAAAGTTATCCAAATGGTGATCAGACGTGGAGAAAAATATCTATCTCTGGTGCATCTTTACCCATCACAAATTATCAAAACTTTGATCTGAGTTTGAGCTTAGAGGACAGGGATATAAGACAAAGAAATTAAAACGGAAACAATCCTTACAGTCATTTCTCTTGAAGTCTGCTTCAGTCTGTACTCGTCTGAAAAGGTCCACTTTTAGCTACGTCTGGTCTCATTTACTGCTACAGTTTTTGAGAGACACAAAAAAGTGAGAAACTTTTCAGGAAGTAGAACGTGTTTTTCATTCAAAGGAATGAAAGAAGAGCGTCTCTGAAAGTTAACTGGGTAACAGGTCAGTGAAGCTGCAGGTCAAATGACAATACAGATGCTCCCACTGGTAAATAGTGCATTCTAGGATACCCAAGTAATCCCCCTCAGCGATGGCTCTGGGGTGGTCCGGTCCATCTTATGCCCTGGAGCTTTCTGTGAGTCCTGAGGCAGCACTAATGATTGTAGGTAACCCGACCTACACTATTGTCATCCTCATGAACACGCATGGTGAAGCCTATCCATTTCCTCCACTGCTGGAGGAAATGAGGCTGGCTTGACAGTTGTGCACCGAGAGAAAAAAGGTGCTAAATCGCTCTACTTCACTTGTATTTTTAAAAAGTTCACATTTGGCAATTCAGAATACAGTAGTCCCTCCCTACTTCGTGGTTCAACTTTCGTGTACTCGCTCTATGGCGGTTTGTGTAGATACAGTACTGTACATAATACCCCCCCACCACCACCACCCAAAAAAAAGCGTCACCATTTTGTAGTTTTCTTTCATTAAGCCTACACTGTTTTGCCATTCTCAAGAACTACGTTACCTAGAAACCATCAGTTCACTTCCCAGAAGTCAACACAGCATCCAATTGCTGCTTTCTGCAAATGGAGGGAAAGTTTTGCGATGCAAAGTCAGAAGTTCTGTAAGGATAAGCTCACAGGACTGGCAGGAAAGTCACAAATAATCCTGAAGATGAACTCATCCTTCAAGTTGTATCTTCACTGGTGAGTAGCTGGGCTGCAGCTGATCTGGACTCAGTGTGACCCGAATCCTGGGAGCTGCAGGCGACAGACAGCTGCAGAGTTCAGCCTGGTTCTGGTCACACAATGCTGGTCCGGACCGGGCCAGAGGTGGTGGACTAAATCCTGGGCAGCCTTGCGTGCTGAGTGTACTTCCTGGAGCAGCAGCACGCACACATCAAGCTGGATGGGGCTTCATCATGCTGCACCGGGACGTTTATCTATTGGGTCAGACAGAAGAACCGAGCTGCTGTTGTTCTGCAGAGCCCTTGTAAGTAAAATGTAGTAGCTACATAGAAGTTTGTTGTTAAAATTAGTAGGTTTAAGAGTTTAGAAGACTGATATGTGGGCTTCATCGCTGCATGATAGTTCTGCAGAAGCGAACCAAGTCGGACCGGAACAAAGAGCTGCTGCTGTTCTGCAAAGCTAGCAAGTAAAATTTAGTAGCTACATATACAGTACTGTATGCATGTTGTTAAAATGATGGAGGTTTAAGAGTTTATAACATTGCAAGAGTGTGGGAAGGGTTTATAAAGCCTTTATACTGTATATAAATACTAAAATAAAATACTACTTAACTACTACTATTACTACTACTTGTGGACATAATTTTGTTCCATCTCATGTACCACATGAGAATAACAATAAAGTTTACTTGAACTTGTGATAAACGAGGGACTACTGTATGCTGTTTAGATGTAGAGATGACGTTCATATTCTTGGATTAGAACAGTGTTTTTCAACCTTTTTTGAGCCAAGGTACATTTTGTCATTGAAAGAATATCAAGGCACACAAATAACCAAAAATGTAAAAAAAAAAAAAATTAAACTCTGGCATTTTTAGGGTGCTCAGCCCCCAGAGCTGATGGTAGCTCTTGGCTTGAACAAAGCGGTGTCCATTGGCATCAGATGCATTTGTAATGTGTGTGTGGGGAGACAATGGTGGTAGTGGTGGGGGACAATGGGTCCTAGAGGCTCAGTGGGATTAATCTGTCTAAATAAAGTTTGAATGAATGGTGTGGGGTGGGGTCCTCCCCCAGAAAATTTTGGATAAAGTAGATGTCATTTCCTGCATTCTGGTGTATTTTAATTGGTTGTTAAACATCTACGTTTACCTACTTATGTAAACACTTGATTCAATAACTATTTTAGAGTTAATAGCACAACAATAAGCTAATATTAAGCTAATATTACTACCTGTGAAAAACTTATTTATACATATTCAGCCTACTTGTATATTTATATTCTACCGTGTTGTTGTTGACTATATTTCTTGTAAATAGTAAGCAGCTGTCTACTTTGATTTCTGTAAGAAATTTTAAACATTTGATAAGGTCAATAGACAAATCAAAGCAAATGTGTTCTCGTTTGTAGTATTTTACCTTGTTTTATAACACTACTTATTTATTTTAATTATTTATTTTAATTGCATTTTATTGTTTATTGTCTGTGACGGACTTGCGACCTGTCCAGGGTGTACCCTGCCCCTTGCACAGTGATTGCTGGACATGGGCACCGGCGACCCTCGTGACCCAAAATGGAAGAAGAGGGTAAAGATAATGGATGGATGGATGAATTCTATTTCTTTTTCACTTTTTGGTACTTTATTTTGTACCTTTATTGCATGCTTTAGAATTTCTTCTTCTTTCTTTTTTAGTGAGTAGAATCGGTTTTTCTCACACACACACACACCCCCCCCCCCCTCCCCACCGTCTGCAGGTAAGGGGAGTTTCACTTCAGGACAAATTGATGTCACCGATTTGTCAGTTGCTGATGAGCTTACTGGATTTAGGTGACATTGAGGATCTGATTCATGCAAAAAAAAAAAGAAAAAAAGTCACCATATTTTTCTGGCCCGTTTGAGTCATCATTTATTCCATATTTATTCACTATTTTGGTGGATCTAAGGTTTGAGAACTAAGCTTCCTTACAAAATTGTAATGCTGGTTTATTTTCATTTTATTTTCAGGGGTGCTGAATTAAAATTTAGGGATGCTTGAGCTAAAAAGTAGCTAAAATCGCCACTGATGCCAGCCTAGCACACCATTCATCATAGCGCATTGCATAATCAGACCCCTCATTTGTCAGAAACACTTCAAGTTCCTCCCGCAGCTCAAACACACAGGCCTGCACCTTGCAGCGCAACAACCATCGGACCTCCATATGAAACAGCAAGGCTTTATGCTCTGCTCCCATTTCCTCACACAAAGATGAAAATGATATGGAAGGCATGATTACTCTGCATTCACTAGACAGCAAAGACACTCGACAATGGCATATTATTTGCAGATAATAATTAGTTTTCAAAAAGGGTTTTTTTAGACCAATTAGGTGAAATTGACTAATTTCCCACGGCACACCTGGTAGTGTGCCGTGGCACAGTGTTTGAAGAACACTGGTTTAGAAGACAAAAGTGTTTCCTTTTGTATAAAAGTGTCATGTCTTCAGAAGCTGCAACAGTTCTTGGGTTAAAATGAAGAAAATAAAAGTTTTACCTTCATGAAGAGAACAATTTACATCACCCTTAACTCAAATTCTTGTACATGTGGAGAATATGATAATGCCTGCCAGCAGCTCAGGAATGACGTGAAATGGGTTTTAAACTCTGCAACTCTCACATTAGAGAAACAAAAACTTGGGAGTCAACACAAGAGAGGCCTCATGTAAACTTTACAACTTGGCACAAACATCTAACGTTTGCTTCATCAACAGATTGAAGGTGCCGCTTGTCTGTAAAAGGAATGATGCAATAAAACGCTGCCTGGCAGGACCTTTTTTTTTTTATCCGTTATCAGATACTTTCTCAAATTAAGAACATTCCCAACGGGCGGCTCTGGCTGAGTAGTTAGAGCAGTCATCCTCCAATGCAATAGTTGGAGGTTCAATT